TGGGCCACTCACCTTGTGGAAAGAACCAGAAATAAGTGTCTTTTGGGTCAAACCTTCTGACTCTTATGGCAGGAAAAATGTAATGGGAGGAGGGGGTCTCACAGAGGTGGTGTAGCACTGCTCTGAGACTGCTCATCTTAAGACCCTTGCTCAGTCCACCCCCCTCAACTCACTTTCTGGAGGAGGGTTCTAAGGGCTGGCTTTGTACAGGTGAATAAAATGCATGAATTATCTAGTTTGCATATGAGGCGTGCAAAATAAAGTGGATTGGGCCCCCTTGCTCTTTCACTCCTGTCTTGCAACAGAAGCTCTGGACCACCCACATGGCAAGACCGATGTCAGATCTAAGGACTGCTGATATTCTTTGTTCTTCCTTCCTTTTCTGTCTTTATTTCTCTTCTCCTTTGCTTTTCCTGGGCCACACAGGGCTATCGTATTCTACTCCATGCTCCACACTGAAGTTTGTTGTGGGACTGGGGAGATTGTGTCAGTGTGCTGTGGCTTGTGAGCCAGCACCTTCAAGAAGGTTTCTGTGGGAGTTGAGAGCTTGTTGAAGCGTACTGTACAAAATCCAAGAGCTTGTGGAAGTCTGCTGTAGAATTTAAGAGCTAGTGAGCCAACACCTTTTGTGTCTGAACAGTGGGCTGGGTGCCAGAGTTATGGTGACTGCACAACAAAGTACAAGAGTTCCCAGGCATTTGGTCCGGTGTCTTTGTTCAGCTTGATGAGAATTTATAAGGAACATCACAGCCACTGCTGGTGCATTGGGACACCTTGTTCCCACCACCAGAACCCCTTGCTTTGACACTATATCCTCACACACCTGCAAGGCAGCACTTTGTCTATCACAGTTACAGTCATTTATGGAGAGCAGAGCATCTACTTATGCCACTCAGTCCTGGCCATGCCATTTCAAACAATAAACAGTGACCAAATAAAGCCAAACTCATCTACTTCCAAAGCACTGGACCTGAATCTGAACACTGGAGGTAGGCTGGTGTCCCACAGCTGTTAGCACTGATTTTGATTTAGGAGAGTATTAATGCAGTGATGCTTCTGGAGGCCAAAACTCAAAAGTCACAGGCAATTTTTACTCAGTACTTATTCTGAAAAATTACACTGGACAATTTTGCCCAAATATTTTGGATTGTTTATATCAACAGGAAACGATCCTGGCCAAACTCTATGGGTTCTATTATGAGAAGGCAGAACAGTTAGGAGAGGAATTCTTAGCTCCTGGTCTAAACTCCTGGGGCTGTGCAAAAGGAAGTAGAAAAAAACCCCATCAAAGTTGTGCTGTGGAAACCTGGATTATGGTATATTACATTGCACTGTGAACGTGCATTTTATCTTTACAAGAAACACTGTAGGAAAAAAATATCCCTCTTCCAGCTCACTCTAACCTCCATTTAGAAAGACAGGCTCTCCTTGAGTAACCCAAAAAATCATAATGGACAACTCTATAAATTTACTGTAATGTTTGATATAGCAAGTATTGTCTCAAAACTTCAAACTGCTTAAAAGTGGTCATAACTATTTTAAATCATGTACTTTATTTTCCTCTCCACCACTGAAAAATAAAGAAGGCTGTAATAAATAAAACAGTGGAAAGAAGCCAAAAAGGTATTTGTCTTCATGTTATTTTGTGGCTTACCACATCATACTGAAGATTTCAGCATTATACCATGTTGAATGTTACGTCAATTTTCCTGCCAGCACAGAGTGATTCTTTTCTCTTCCAAAAGTGGATGTAGGAAGTAAATCCTCTCTTTTAATTGCAGATTAGTTTAGATGGGAAGTGGTTATACAAACAAGAAAGTCAAACTACCATCTATCTTATCTATGTCAAGCAGTCATATTAAAATACAAGTATGAAAAGTCTGCTTAATCTCAACATGATGCCTCTCAAACTCTCAAACATGCCTTGTCAGTAGTGCAGATCTTTTTGTCTTCATACTTGACAGGTATTGGGAATTAATTTCCATCTGGATTTTGCTCAATCTTCTCCAAACCCTGACATATTATGTTCTTCTAGACACTTTTCAGCTATCCCCTGTTCCTGCACTTGGTATACTTCCGAATTCAAGATTTTGACCAAGGCCCAGGAGAAACATAAAACACACATACTAAGCATACATAAATTTAAATAATCTTTGAAAATGAAGTCCTTACAGCTGTAGTGGGTTGACAAATGCTTGGCTGTATTCATTGATGCAGCTCCTTAACTATTCTAGAAAACCAGAAATGTTAAAGACCAATGAAACAGGCTGCAGGAACAAAGTAGCATTCATTTAGATGGAGAATGATCTGGGATGTTCTAAAAAATACTTGCAAGGTGAACAATTAGAATGACTGTCAGTTCTGAGGCAGCCTTTTACTCTTTCTCCTCCACTTTCCAACATAATACCTATTTCTAAGACATTTAGAAATGCTAGACATACTTTTCCCTTCCATTTTCCTGAAAGACTTTCACCTCAGCTTCTCCAGCATCCTCAGAGAAAGATGTTGAGCTTGTGCTTTAGAGACTGTTCATGATTTTTCCTTATTTCTAGTCTTAGTTTTCCTTTCTCATTTTAAATTATGTCTTTTCTAGAAACAACAGTCATGCAAATACTAAAATAGCATCAATAACCCTAAGAATGTACATATTAAATGTTCATTACACACAACCTTCAAATCATATCCGATCTTGTTGGCTTGTTTGCATTATGTTTTGTTTTACATATTTAAAGGATTTTATGGTATTTACCCCCACATTCCTCCCATATGGTGCAGCAACTTCCTTTAGAGATGCGTTCCAATGTACCCTTCAGATTTATTGCCAAGTTAAGATACAGAAAAGGCCTATGTTCTACTAATCCAAGCTCCTATATGACACTTTCATTTCAGAGAAGACAGAGTTGCTGCTTCCTTCCCTTTACTTTTGAAAAGTACTTTTTGATTTTGAATATTAAGTTGGTGCAATTTCTCCCAATAGGCAGCAAATAACTGAATTTATATTCACACATTCTATAAAATGTAGATTGCATAATATAGCATGATGGCTCTATTCCATTGTGCTTCATTACTAGGTTGGAAATTACTCACACAGTATGTTTTTCTCTTTAGTACTCTATCATTCTAAATTATAGCTGCACTGTAGGTTACTCTATGTAGTAAATAATCTAAACACAATTCCTGCCTGGCATCATACTAACTGAGCAACACTTTCCTTCCTAGGTGGTCCTAGGCCCTTACTTGAATTCTAGTTATTTAATTACATTCAACCTGCCTAAGGTCTCCTTTAGACTTTGCAAATGTATTCTTCATTTATCATGATTTTATGGTGGTGCCTCAAGCAATGGAACTACACATGGATGCTACAATCTTGATACCTCAGTATAACTTACCTCAGCTGTTTTCCAAATGTTTAGAATCATGGGGAAAAAAAATGATCATGGGATAAAATCCCAATAGAAAACTACTTGGTGATGGTGTTTGTTTTCAGTATTTAAATTGAATGATTGAGTGCAGCAGCTTCCTAAAGAAGTAAAACTGCTCGTTCTTCAGCTTTAATGCTCATGACTGACAGGTTATCTAAAGCCTCTGACATTGCTTGAAAAAGCAGCATTAAACTAAATCTAGAGAAAAATATGTAATCACAGATAATTCAGAGATAGCAGAGAGGGAAAGGAAGCATAACAAGGAGAAATCACCAGTAGGCTGTGACTTTTTAATCAGTAAATCCAGACTGAACATCCACCTCTGTGGTATACATCTTAAAGCAGTAAAAGTCTAAGGTTACGGTTCTATTATTTCAGAAATTATCCTTCAGTTAAGAGGGTTAAGTATTTTGGAAGGCATCACTTCAGCATGATTAAACATCTAAAAGAAAGACAAATTGTAGTTCACTTTCAGAAATATTGAATAGCAGACAGTGATTCAAAGGAGACACAGAATTCTGCAATCAACAGAACTGCATCAGAGAATAGTTCTTTTGCATGGCACTAAAGATTCCACTGTGAAGGTCGTAAGTTGTTTATGCCCAATCCAAGAGTATTTATCACTAAAGATTGTGTTTACCCTTATGCTCTGTGAGGACTGCAGACAAACAAGCAGGAGGAGAAAATTCCTGCTTACAAACAAAAAACCACATACATAACTCTGGAAGGAAGCAGACATTTTCTAATTTTTTGGCGGGGGAAAAAAAGGTAAAAAAAACTCAAGAAAACAAGGGAAATATTCTGAACCCAACTCCTTCTTCTAGTTGTTCAAAAGACTCATCTCTAATTCAGAAACCTACATACAAGTTCCTGCCCCTTGTCTAATAGAAATCTGCAAACAGGTTTTCCTGTTTCATGTAGTCTAAGCACTGAAGCATTAATTTTTTCTTTCTAAGATTTTGACTGAGATTTCCCCAAGGCCTGAGAAAACTTTGCAGTCCAAACTTGATAATTCCTGAATAAAAGCACAAGGATTTCCAATATCTGACAATGATAGTAACATTCACATTGAGGTTTTTAAGTGAAACCCTTGTTTTAAGTGTCATTTCTTGGATAAAGATCACTCTATTCATCAGTTTCTTAATTTCCAAGTTCCAAATTAATCATAATATTGCTACATGTAAATAAATACGCACAGTATTTAAGTGATATTTGGGATCAGGGCAAAGTTAAGGATATCTCCAGCTTCCCAAACAAGCATTCTCAGTAATAACATACTGGATAACTGATCTAACTTTCCTAAATACCATGCAGTTACAGCAAATTTTCAACATATACACAAGAGTTGTGTCAAAACAGAACTTCTTACAAAATTGACATTTCAAAAGAAAGTCATTAAGTAAAATAAGACACCCTTATTTAGAATGGATATATATGTCATTCAGGCATTTTCTACAATTTAATTCTTAATCAATAATCTAATTCTGCATTCTAGTTCACCATCTCAAGTAATGGAGACTGATTAAAACCTGTAAATCTTAACTAAAGAAAGCATTTGTCTTTAGTGGCAGTACTCACAGTAAAAATTATGTCTTGCTTGTGGGTTCCTCATTTGGTGATGTAATATTCAGAAGTCACCATGCTTTTGTTCTAAGATAAAGCATTTTCTTTATTGCTGTCTTTAAGAAGTCTTCTAAACAAGTCATCTCGTCATATTCTCTTCCAAAGCACAGTTATTTTCTCTCTCCGTATTTCCTGTCCAAAATACTAAATGTACAAATAAAGGTAAAGTGGTGAGTTACTAATAATGACACATGGCATTTATATAGTGTTATAAATTTTTATAGTACTTACAGAGGGCTGCTTATACAACATTAGGAAGTGCTTACAGACCTGAACCAAAATTACCTGAGTTTCTTAAAAGATTGAATAATTCTACCTGAAATGTTTCAGGAGGTTTAAAAGAACATAACTTCTTTAAATTAGTAAATGAAAACTAGCATTCCCATTAATTCTTCTTTTCTTAAGCATCATTCACATGAGCCATATGCAGCACACAGTCTAATTGCTGCTGAAAGGCCCTAAGGATATCAGGTGTGCCTCCAAGTAGAAAATTTGTTCCATTGCTTAAAGAAGGAAGATGTGCATTGCTACAATTCTTTTTGTTATTTATGAGTTTCCTAAGGAGCAGTACAGCAAAATAGGCTGTAAAGCATCTTTTCTCAACTGTACCAATAGTTATTGATCAGAACACTGATGAAGAGTTAGTGGTTTTAAGGAAGGAATAACATAATCTTTAGAACTTGATTTTCTTTTTTTGAAATTTAATTGTCTTGCCCATCCCTCCCCAGGTGCTCACTATTATGAATATGTCAGACACACATTTTGAAAAAGGATCCTGATTCATTTAGGTCCTTACCTCCAGCTGTCCACAGATTCGCCAAGTTCAGATGTCATTAATTTGAAGCATATTTCTTATATTTTCATTGAATTCCTTAAAATAAAATAATGTGTTGCAATTATTCCATAGTCTATAAAATCATATCACAGAGAATCTTGCATAGAAGATGTGGTCTGTTAGTCACAATATTTTTGAAAATATAATTGCCACTAGAGTTACTTAGCAAAGTAGACAAAGAATAGCATTTTAAGTAATGTGGTAATACAGCAGTCATATAAGCTTATTCTTAAATTTATGACTTTATATCATTTTAAATATTTGAAGATATCATAAGAGATTAAGAAAATTGATGTAACCATCTCTCTTTCTCTTAAATATTCTATAAAATCAATTTGTAAATACATCCACAAACAAACGAATACCTTCATCAGCAAAAGAAAGTCTAGTTCACCTCTGGGATTTTAAAATATAGCCAAACAATAGTCATGTTTCATTTTCAAGCCACTATTTAATATCCCAAACCTTTTTTGGCCAAGAGATGAACTTAATACAATCATAAAAAAAACCAGCACTTTTTTCTGAAGGCTGTTTCACAAAGAACTCATTCCCACTCCTATTCAATGAAAAATGAACTGTTTCTCATTAATTTCACAGGTTGCTAATCTGGACCCAGACTCCCGAAACAGAACCACAGATGACAGAATTAAAACATAGTGTTCATGTACAGTCATAAGATGTCATTTCTTAAGATTTTCATAAAACTACTTAACAGGGAGAAGTGCCATATGTGAGTGAGTTCCTGTGATAGATACTTCAATACACCTAATTTCACAACTTTTCACCAAGAGTACAATATTTTGCTGGAAGCCCTGAAGTCAGGCAAACATTGTAGACCACCAGGGTTTTTATTTCTTTGATTTTTAGTCTTTATCTTGCAGTAAAAAAATGGAGATATGACTTGTAGTTGACAAAGACCGAACAAAATAGGAACACAGTAGTATTTTTTACTGACTTTGAAACTTTGTTCTTACCAAGAGCCAGATAGTTATGGTGGAGATGGACATGCAAATTAAAGGAAAATCTGCCTTGCAGCAAGATTTATCTGTGTGTTGTTACTAATCACTAGTGTAAGAAGTTCTTTAAAGAATGTTTTCTATTTTTGCACCTTTACACTACAGAGACACAGCTACATTATAAGAAACTGAACTATTCTGATAGACACTGCTCCACTACTCCCATTTACTTTGAAGCAATACAGATCTTTTGATAAATCCTTCTGTCTCTCTGTGAAAATAAACCTGTACATGCTGCCACCTAAGAACCAACTAAAATCCAGATCACAGAAAACCAAGCCCCAGGAATTTTGGGTAAAAAACAAATATGAAGTTCTTAGAACTACAAGAATCACCAAAGGTGGTCATAGCAAGCCTGAAAGTATAAATGATCATGAGAGATTTTTTCCGCATACCATGCGTTTCTGCTCTAATTCTGTTTTGATTGCTTGGCTTTTTTTTTTCTACAGGCAAGATCATTTGTCTGGTGTGCATGTTTATAAAAATGCTTTCAGATGATTGATTCTCTTTACTGAAGCCATTTTTGATCATTTGGTTATTACAGAAGCACACAAATTGCCTGGTCTCATTTCTGTTAAACTGTGTAACTCATTTCTGTGAGCAACTGCCACAACTCCCTGTAAATCTTGCATGCCTGCACTTGGGTACTGACAATAATTAGGGGAGTATAAATTCAGTTCGCTTCATATAACACGGTTAATGAAATCTTCACATGCAAATCCAGAGTAGGAGAAGAGTAATGAAAATCTTCACATGCAAATCCAGAGTAGGAGAAGAGTTAGATTCTATGAATAAGAGACTAATTGACAAGTTTTCATGGAATTCCTAAGGGAATGGGTTCTCTGCTGGGTTTTCCACTAAGAATTAGGGCAGTTCAAATTATCTTTTCTTTGATTAAATAATGCAAATTTCATTTGTAGTCTAAGACTATGCAGCCATAACTCTGATATCAAGTCTCTTCATTTAGTAATTTGCATTTTCTAGAAACTGAAAAAAAATATTACAGCTAGTAATATATAGTAACATATCCTATACTAATTTCAATCTTGTCCTTACTGTCTGTTTTCTCCCTCTCTTTTCCCTACCATTCTCTCAAGTTTCTCTTGGTGGAATTTTAGCAAATGAAAATACAGACAGTTTTGACTGGTGTGCCACAAACACACAATGCATGCACACAGCAATCTAGGCTTGGGAGCACAGCAGCAAAACACACCTAACCTTGGAATTGACCCCAGAACCATTTTCCCTAATGTACCAGAGAAATTTTTACTGTGCTACATCAGCTAATAGAAGACAGCATTCAAATTTTCTGCCTTCTACCACGCAGTATAAACCTGTTGACATATTATAACAAATAAAACCAATTACTCAAATTGCCCTTCTCTGAAGAAGGTAATAAAAAACTTTACTGCTGACAAAGTTCAGCAAAGTTCAGATGCTTTCCTCACACCTAAGGCAAGGAAAGCTACCAAAAAAGACAGAGGAAACACTTGAATGTCCCACAAGACAATTAACACCAGCCAGTTACTAAAAATACTAGGCTAAATACATCCACTTACTTCGTCATCTGGAGTAAGTGGCCTCAATGCCCGGTATCTGAGAAAATGGGCCAATTCCAAACATAGCCCAGGTTCAAAGCCAGGGCACAGAAACACCTGAACATGCAGGAAAGTTATTCCCTCAAAGTTCCATCCCATGAGCACATTTAGTCCTTGTCAAGGGGATAAAAAACCAAATAATCAGACCTCAACGTCTTCCTAAACATCGACATTTTCCTCTCTCTCTTGCACTTTTCCTCTTGACCAAAACCAGCTGAATTTCAGGACTTGCAGGTGATGATTTTAGCCAAACTGTGTGACTCACATGCTGCCTTACAGTGAACCAGCTTTCAGTGAACTATTGTTTGTTACCTCTCAGCTTCTAGCTATTACTTCTCAGATCAGCCACAGTGCCTGAAAATTGTCCTGCAGATAGGCTGTAAACCTGCTAACCCTTGAAATGGGCAAGTCCAGCATTTCAGCAAGCAAGCCCTAAATGAGCATGGGTAAATAAACCAGGAGTGCACTCTTGTACTGAATCTGGGACTGTCTTCATTGAAATGACAAACATTTTCCTTATTTAAATAAAGACATCAGCTATATTGCCCTGTGAGGATACAAGTCTCCTAAAAGTGTATTGTTTTTTATTCATATCAGATATGCTGTTTATAGGGATAAACTGCACCACTAAAAGAGTGACATTACTATGTCATGAATAAAATATTCAAAGCAAGTATTTTTCTTATCAAACCTTATTAGATTAATTTAATTCCTTTAGAAATCAATGACAAAGAGCACTTTGGAAAATTCCCACATACAACTCTTAAGAGTTAGAAATGTAAACTATTTTTCTAAATATAAATTTCTCCTCTCTCAAAGACATATGGATCCTAAATAACCAATCCTATATATGTAGGTTCCATAATGCTTCTCTATTCAATCTCATTTTATTGAGGCAATATTGACTGTATGCTACTGTAGAAATACAAATCCTTGGGCAAGATAAGGTACATTAACTGTGCCAGAACTGGAAGAATTAGGGGTAAAACTACTCCTGCATACTACTTCAGTCTCTCAATTACACTGCAATTACAGAAGAGTCATGCAATGCCTACAGAATTCTGATCTACAGATACTGTCAGAGTGTAGGGGTTTGAACCTATGCACCTTCAATAGCACCATAGGTAAAACTGTAGTATCGGCACCATTGATTTCAGGTATAGTTAAAGTATTTTCTACAATGATTTTGTTTTCATCTAAGAAATAAGAAACAGGTCCACAGGAACCAAATTTTGAATTTTAGATGCAAAATCATATTTTTAAAGGCATAAACACCTATATGCACCTGTTGGCAGTAAAAGTATTATTACACAATAGGAATATTTTTTGTATTTTCATATTACATATTACACTGACACAAAACCACATTTACAGCGAAAGTAAAAGATGATGAACCCAAAACTGAAGAGAAAATTTGTTTCATTCAGTGAGACAAGAATTTAAAAGATCCAAACAAGTAGAAGCTTTTATGTGACTATTTTTATGTAGAAGAATATCCAGAATCATGAACTTGTAATGAAAGGTACAAAAATAAATTAATATTTTGTATCCATTCTTAATAATATTTCTCTTTATTAATTTAGTATTCCCTAATATTTAAGATTATAAATCATATAGAAAGCATAAGAAAGCCACAGGACTAAGGATGGATATGGAAAAATAACACAAGAATGACTATGAGGAAATAGCACTAGAATGCCATAACAAAATCAGAAAGACTAAAAAGAAAAATGAGTTTTAAAAGCAATGATTCATAGGAAAAATAAAACAAATCAACCAAGAGGAGGTCAATTAATACTACAAAATTTAGTGAAAAACAGAGTACAGACTCATTACTTCACAAGAGCAAAAGGAAACAACAGATGACTCAGAAGGTAGAAGCCTAATGAAATCAGGAAAACTGTGCAATTAACATCATCCTACTCACCTTGTTAAGATGGACTCCCCCCCAAGAATAAGACACCCCATGTCTCCGTGGAAAAATCTATGTAACACTGAGGTAAGTTATTAGCAGTCACCAGGTTGCTGTTAAATTAATATTTATGCTGTGGCCATTTAAGTCTGGGGAGGAAAAATGAACTATTATGGCCATTTTACATAGAAGAGTGTGGCATGAGAATGTATTTGGCTTTTAGGGGAAAGGATAGGAGAATGACAACTTGTGTTTCTAAGAAAAGCACTCTCATCTTGGATGATATTGCATCAGCTTTAGAAAAGGCCTCTTAGCCAACAGCTAGGGGAAGGAATGAGTGTTCATGCAACAGCTGCCAATTTAGAGGAGAGAATGGAGTACAAAAAGGGAGAAATTTGGGTAACCAACAATCCAATTCTGTCCTGTTTTAATCTGGCAAAGGTTTAGATATTTACTGCAATCATTTTTTCTTATTTCATCCTCCGGCAAAAAAGAAACACCTTTCCTTGA